GCCAGGGAAGCCTCTTCAAGAGATCAGAGGAGGCAGGAGATGGAGTTACAAACATTGCATCTGCAAGCTGAGGTAGAAGGAGGCTGAGAAATGAGGAAGACCACACACTCCTTGTTGGCCCAGATCCGGCGTACAGCAGCAGGACCCTTTCCCTTATGGGGAATAAAGTGCATCCATTGAAGTACACTTTGATGTGTGTGTCCTGATGTTTTTTGCATCCTCCCAGACAGTCCATCCCCGTAACATTGTGGCTTTTTTGTACCTGCTGGCTGCTTGGCAGCTTCATCCCCCGCCGCTGGGTGCAGGGTGCTGCTGCCATGAAGGACTTGGTTAAGTGCATGGTGGTAAAGACGCACCGGTGTCACGAGTGCGGCAAATCCTTCAGCAAGAAGGGAAACCTGAAGAGACACCAGCGGATCCACACAGCAGAGGAGCTCTTCACTTGTGGGGACTGTGGGAGGCGCTTCACCACCCAGGGCCACCTCACGACCCACCAGAGCATCCACACAGGAGAGAGGCCCTTCTGCTGTGGGGAATGCGGGCGTTGCTTCCGCCTGGAGATATGCCTGGCTGCCCACCAGAAGACACATGCCAAGGGTGGTCCCTACCTCTGTGCCCGCTGTGGCAAGAGCCTGAGCACAAAGATCTACTTTAACATCCACATGCGGACCCACACAGAGAAGAGGCCATTTGCCTGCACGGAGTGTGGGAAGAGCTTTGTGAAGAAGGGGACCCTCACTGCCCACAAGGAGATCCACAAGAGGGAGAAGCCCTTCAAATGCCCCGACTGCAGTAGGTGCTTTGGGCAAAGCGCCACTCTACTGGCCCACCAGAAGATACACCTTCGTGGGGGGCCTTTCATTTGTACTGAGTGTGGGAAGAGCTTGAGCACCAAGCGGTATTTCAACATCCACCAGAGGAACCATGCAAAGCAAAAGCCACCCGAGGGACACATCAATGGTGTGTCTCTCCAGGTCATCCAGATTAAAGAGGAGCCTGATTTTGCCTTCAGGTTAGAGGAAAATATGTTGGAGAATATGTTCTGTGAAGGAGATGTGGCCCAAGGGTGTAGCATACCTAGAAACCCATCTCATGCAAAAAGTCCTCCTTGGAAAATTCAGATGAAGGAGGAACCAGAACCACCCACTGATGACACAGAAAACATTACTGCAATAGCCTGTCAGAAACTTTACATCAAGGAAGAGCCACCAGAAAACCTGGACTATGGAAAGCTCTTTGATCCAAAGATCCCACTGATGGCTTTACAGGGGAGACAGCTTAAAAAGGAAGAAGGTGCTGATGGGCAGCATGAACGGGAAGTCCCCGTAGCCTGTAACCGGGTGCTCCATGTGAAGGAAGAACCACAGGAAAGCATTGAGTTTGGGATGCATTATGGACACAAGCCAAACCTCAGTCCTATCCAGAGGATCCAGATTAAAGAGGAACCTGGTGTGGAAGCCAACCACCAGGAGAGTCAGAGCCCAAAAAGGAAGCAAGAGAAATGCTATCAGCCCACCAAAGAGGAGATGCTGGAGAACAGGAAGAAATCCACATCCAAGAAAGATCCTTCAGCAAAAGGAGCTCTGAAAGGTGAACGGATATTCCCCTGTCCCGAGTGTGGGAAGAGTTTCAATCAGAAATCAAACCTGACCAGACACAGAAAGATTCACACGAGCGAGGGGCCATACAAGTGCAGCGAGTGCGGGGAGAGTTTCCGCATGAACCGCAAGCTGATCCGCCACCAGCGAGTCCACATGAGTGAACCCTTCAAATGCACCGAGTGTGGGAAGAGCTTCACCCAGAGGTCGAATCTGGTTCGGCATCAGAGGATTCACACCAAGGAGGAGCCCTACCAGTGCCCTGAGTGTGAGAAGACCTTCAACCAGAAGGCCAACCTCTTCCGTCACCAAACAATCCATGTCCGCATGGGGCCTTGCAAGTGCACCAAGTGTGGGAAATGCTTCCCCCATAAGCGCCACCTTATTAAACACCAGCTGCTCCACTCCCGAGGTGGGGCCTACAAGTGTGGGGTCTGTGGGAAGCGCTACCGGCTAAAGAAGTACCTGAGGAGGCACCAGAAAATCCACGCACGAGAAGGAATTCCTCCCTGCGCAAAATGGGGGGGAGGCCACAAGGACTGACAGTGGACCCCACCACACTGAACAGAGAGCACTGGCCCCCATGAAGAGCGAAGAGGAGAGATGAGCAAGTGTGGTGCCTGGTTCTGGTGGAAAGTCCTTTGGGAAAGGGGAGGGATGGAGACAAACTGCTCGTCTTACGTGTGCAGTATCTGAAGGTAGGGAGGTCAACCTGAGGGGACAGTGAGGTTGAGGGGACAGAGCACTGCTGGAAACCGGTCCTCTGCAGCTTTTCTGAGGACAACCATCAGGGTATCATTTGCTCACAGCTGTGGGATGGGGCTGGAGAACCAAGCCTCTACAGAGCACTTGGAGATGGAGGAATAAAAGCTTGGCATCCTTCGTAATGGTACTCTTGTGCCTCTAAAGCCTGCCAAAGTTACGGATGCCGAAATTGTCTCATGTGGGCATTATATAACCCCAGACAGGGACCAGGACTGGGCAGGATTTATTTTTATTACATTACTGTGTTTCTGAGAAAGCTGAAGGAAACCTCTCCCATCTAGGCAAGGGTTTAAAACAAGGGCCAACTCTCTCCTCCCTCGTGTAGCTCTGGTCCACACTTTGATCTTACTGGGCTGATAGACCCTAGTCAACTGGATAGTACAGATTTGGGAGAAACTACTGCCACCCAGACCAGGGTTTTAAGCCTTGAATTCCCCAAAACAGGCTCCCAAACTGGCTTAAGCTAGGTCCCTAAAAGTAAGTTATGCAAAATCAATGACTGTTTTTCCAAAGCTGGCCCAGGGGACAGCAGATTGAATTCTGGTTTGTGCCCCCACAACCCCACTACGTGGATGTAAATGAGAATGGCTTTTCTTAGCATCAGAGAGTTTTATATCTCTGAAGTGCAGGTGGCTTTGCCACCACAAGTCCGAGAGGCATCAGTGATTTCACCAGCTTGAGCGTCACTGGTGCTGCTTCTCAGCCACCTGCTTCCCTACCTGTTACTGCAAGCTCTTGGTAGGATATTGACTTTATTGAGCATGATTTAGGGAATTCAAACCAAACAGCTGGAATAGTTGTAACAGTCTTCAGACTTTATGGACTAGAGAACTGGAAAGTATTTCCCTGTTGGGATGTTTTCCCTTCCTCTCCCTGGTGTAAAGGAGATTGTGCAGCTACTCAAAAGCATGGACAGCTCAGCAGTCTTTTTTGCTCACTTCTAATGATTTTGTTTGACTGTTCCCTAGTCAGATGAATCTTTGTGTCTTGAAAGTTCCTGGTGAAGCAGGGATGTGGAGGGAATTCACAATCCCCTGAGCCATTCCCCAAGATTTCTCTGCAGTGCTGCTTCATGGCCACCTGGGCACTGCAAAGACACGTATTAGGGTTTGTTGTGTTGCTGTAATACGTAGAGTCCAAGAGGCAAGTGGAAAAACGTTCCATGGTGAAATAGTAGCTCTACCTCTCTGGTTTTGTGCAGGAAAACAAGCCCCATCTCCAAGGCACACACCACTTCCTTTTCCCAGGACATGTTGCAGATGGCATCCTCTTGGAGGCATCTGAAAATCATGCCCAAGACTTTGGGCAACTACCTGCTGTAATGCTTTACACCCAAGCTGCTGGTTGTCTGCACTGCCTACTCTGGAGCAGCTGCTTCACTAGGCAGGGAAACTGAGGCATGGAGAGAAGGAAAGGAACAGGACAAACTGTTCTTGAGCTTTGTCTTTACTAGCTGCATGGACACCATTGTGTTGAGGTGCTTTGCTGTGGTGATTTAAGCACAACAGCTGCCAAACTCCAAAAGCACAGAGTAATTTTGGTGTTTAGACTCCCTTGGCCTTTGATACAGTCAGGCTCAGGACATGATTTGAAACAGCAAAGCAAACTCAGACAGCCTCTGAAGGAGCGTAGCTCTGTCCCCTCATGTAGAAACCATAGCCAAATTGGTTGATAGGAAGTTTCTTCTCAACTCCTTCTGACCTGGTGGAGGTTCATTTCAGGGACAAAAAAAAGCAGACATATAGGGGAAAACAACAAGTTTAGGGTGTTCTAGGGGCATCTAAGGGACACCCTTGTTAGAAAAAATGGGTCTGGGCTATACGGTGGGTAGATGCTTCACTGTAGGACTAGAAAACCATGTTCCTTGGGAAGAATATGGCTGAGCCAAGGTAGCAAAGCACAACAGCCTCTGTAAGGCTTGCTGAGGGGCACAAGTTCAGCAGAGGACTTCAGTGAGGACAAAGTAATGACCAGATGGCTGGCATTTATTTCCTTTTCATTAGCGTAGTGTAGGGCTGGAGAAATTTTTACCAGCAAGAAGAACTGGTATGGGAGTTTTGCCAGTCCTATTATTGTGTCCCGGCATATATACAGGGCAGTGAGTTAATGTCAGTAGCTTTCCTGGGTATCACTGGATCTTCTTCCGTTGACCATGGCTAGTGTGGGTGTCCCAGCTTCTGGGGAAAACCAGGGCTGATAGTTTGTAATATCTCCTCAATAAAGTAAATATTTAAAGAAAAAAAGGAAACAAAGTGAGCCTCTTTTCTGGTTTGTTTTTGTTTTGGTTTCTTTTTTTTTCTTAAGCTATCACTGAGAGAACCACACTATGTTCTACCCGCAATGCAACACCTGAACAATACCAGAGCAAGTTTCATACTAGTGGTTACCAAATGGACCTCCACGTACCAACTCCAGGGGTCCAATTGATGACCCACACATAGATACCGCATGAAGTGCCCTAAGGTATCTGCGTAGGGCTAGAAGGCCTGATGGGAGGCCTTGACCTTTCTGGATGAGCAGCTGAAGGCCAGAAATGGCATCTCAAACTACACCAGACACCATGGTGTGAGAAACTGAAATGATGTCCTAAGTATTGGTGTTTTCGTCCATGAATTAAACACCCTCCATATCCTACCTGTGAGAGCACAATGGTCAAAGTGCAAAGAGAGTCTTCCTTGGGTACCACTGAGATTTGCCTGGGACATTACTCTATGAGTTCCTCCAGGACACCTCCAAAGACATGCCTTGCAGATAGTTTGGGCTGCCAGCTCTGGTGCCTGCTGTTGACAGTTGTGTTTGGTTTGGACCAGGACCAGCTCCATGAGAAAAAAAATTGATTTAGCTGTGGATTGAACAGAGCCAAATCCTCACCCCCCCAGTAGAAAAATAGCCTTCATCCTTTTCTTCCTAAACCCATTAAAAGGGCTCCCAGATAATAATAAAATGTTTAAAATCCAAATCATTGCCCCATTCTCCACTGCGTGGATTTTATACAGGAAACCATATCTGTAAGCACTCACTGAGCACTTTCAGTCACCAAGAGAAAAGGATGCCCACAAGGTTTGATTTTGCCTTCAGGTCTATACAGTAAATTTAGTGTGGTCAAGCTGAAACCAGTGGACTTAAGTCAAAGTAAGAGTTGTGTTAACAAAGAGAGATCCAAGCTCTGATTACTTTTGAAAAGAAATCTTCTGGTCTTGCCCAGTGGGTCAGGTAGAGCTTGTCTTGAGATAATTGCTGTCTATTTCTAGCCAAGGCGGGGATTTCAGGGGGAATTTGGCCATGGGACTTTTTTCGATCACCTCGTTGACTCATTGACTATCTGTGTGTGTCATCTCAGCATCAGTTCTGTCTCCAGCATTCGGCATGGCTTATCTGGAGGAGAGATGGAGACAGGCTGTGTTGGGGAGCACTTGCGCAAGAGTGTGTATTTCGTGCTTCGATGGGACACATGGAGCTGATTGGCGTTCAGCATGTTCTGGTATGGTGGGAATGAGAGGGTTTTTGGGGCCAGAGCAAACATCTACTCGGACATAAGTGCCCTGGGATGTTTACTTGCCCTTTGAGAACGTGATAGTTCCCATGAGAACTTCTTTGAGAATCCCAGGCTGCAGGGAGCCTGGTGTCCCCACAGATGGGGAGTGAGGAGAGGAAAAAGACCAGGGTGAAAACTGGGTGAGCAACAGGACACTCAATATCACATGCTTCTACACACAATTTATCTGTTCACTTTCAACGAGCAGCCTCCATGGGGAATGAGTATCTACCACCACCACCTTAGCTTCTTCTCATCCTATCCAGAGCCAAAGTAGGTAGCACCCTATGGGACCAGGTTATCAAACTGAAGCGTAGCCAAGGTGCACTTGGAGCCACTGCCTCCATCTCCTGACCCAAAGCACAGTCCCTCCCTTGAAAGTGATTTCTTGTGCTGGAACAGAGTTCTCCACCAAAGGATCAAAGCTTCTGGCTAGTCCCCAACTGCAGATTTTCTGAACAAGGTCATAGAAAAATCTGTGCTCTCCTTTTCCAGGGTCAATGTAAGCCTGAAAACCAGAGCAGCCCCTGGGATGGGGTGGGTGAGGTGGGCAGCGCTGGCCTGTGGCTCTGCTAATTGCACAGGAGGTGATTACAGCCCGTTGCTGTCCTTTGTAATAGGACTGCTGTCCCATGGGGGACATTGCAGAGCCCCACTGCTCACTCTTTTTTTTCACTCCAAGCTGATTTCTGTCTCTTCTGCCTCTGTCTGGCTTCTTCCCTGGGGAGCTGCTGTTTCAAAGACACTGACCTCCTCCAAGTTGCTGCAAACTGAAGGCAGAAGCAGGAAGCAGTGATCTGGAGAACCTTTCCTACCAAGTCACAAGATTTTCTCCTTTTTCATAATTTGAAAAATACAAGATGCTTTTGCAAGTGGAATAAGATACAGACTGTTCTCATTTCTTCATGTGCGTTGGCCTCTGAGGAACAAAACAGACTGAAGAGCGAGGGTCTGAATGTAGAGGACAACTTCTGCTAGGAGAGTAACAGGGCTTTGAAGTCATGAAAGAACAACTGTCTGG